TCCCCAGTGCTCACGTGGTGAACGTTCATTGGGTGCCTGTCTTTCCCTGGGCCCTGTGTGTGTGTGTGTGTGTATGTGTGTGTGTGTGTGTGGTGCTGAACACATAGCCAGGAAGCAGTTAAACATGGATTTTTTTTCCCTGACTGGGTTTCAAATTCTAGCAAAGGAGACAGAAAAAGAGAAAAATAGAATACACTATAACTTAAAAGTTTTGTAAAAACCATTTTGGCATCTGGTGCAGGGGGCAGTGAGAAAGGTCCGGACTGGGGTCAGTAGAGCCCATGCTTCGGAACTTACAGCCACTTCCCAATCGCATGATCTGCAGTCAGTCCATCACTGTTCTGTGTCCGACTTCCTTCTTCTAAAACTGGAACAAGAAACAAGCCCAGCTGCTCTTATGGGGAACCCTAAGGGACTGTCCAGGTTACTTAAAGCAGGGCATCACTCGTCACCTCACAGTGTTTTTGGGACCCCACGTCCATATGGCAAATTTGGGGGTGTAGTGTTTGACGGGGCCTTTCCTGCCTCATGGTTTAGAGCCTGGGTTCTGGGGCCCGAATACCTGGGTCCTAACCAGCTCTAGCACTTCCCAGCTCTGCAACCCTGCTGCCATCTCTAACCACTCTGAGCTTCACTTTTTTGATCTGAAAAATGGGGAGCAATGATTCCTACTCCAGGGTCGCTGAATGAATTAGTGTATGTGAAGGGCTCAGGACAGGGCCTGGCCACAGTGAGCACCGGCCAGGCGTCCTTTCTACTTTCATCCTTGCTTTGCATGAGTACGTGGCCTCTGTCCTTCAAGATCTGCCTGCACAGGCTGCAGGACCGGCCTGGAGATGCTGATGATTCTTGTTACTTTCTTTTCCAGGTGTTTTCCAAAGTGGGGACAGTGAAGAGCTGCTCTATCTCCAAGAAGAAGAACAAAGCAGGTATTCCACATGAAATCTCAGCCGGAAAGAGTGGATTCCCAAAGAAGCTCCACCTTCAGACAAGGGGTTGGGGGAGTTCTCTCTTGAGTATTTTGAAGGTTCTCTGTTTTCTGAAGCGTGGTCAGTGTCAGGCTCTTTGAAAGTAGCCCCTCTTTCTGTTCCCCAGAGTCTCCTGCTTTCCAGTCGAAGCAGCCTCTCGGGTCAGGTCCTTCTGAACCTAGAGACTCCACCACCTCGAACCGTCAGGGGTGGTTTCAGAGCAGTGCCATTTGTGGGCAGATAGTGAGGACCTTGGTTTGTATCAGGAGCCTCTGCCGCCTCCCAGCACTTCTGTGTTCTGGAAGTTTCCTAGGAAATAGCAAGAAACAGCCAGTCTTATGATTTCCCTCTTCCCTTCTGAGGGAGATAACCCAGTTCTAGAACTTCTGGAACATTCTACCGAGTCATTAACCTTACAGATTTTCCTGAGTGGTTAACCATGCATCACCCAGGCCAGTAGGTACGTGGGCAGGCAGGGAGCACCCTCATCTCTCCTTTTGGCCCTGGGTACTGTCCTGAGTCTCCTGGCCTTTGCTGGGCGGTCCTCCAGCCTTGGCTTCCTGCAGGGGATACGTCCTTGCTTTCCCACAGCCATAGCAGCCCTATCCTGTCCCTTCAGTTTGGCAGGATTTGTAGGAATGCCGCATGTGTCAGCCCAAAACTGTGTCCTGAGCATCTGCTGCATGCAAAGAACTTGGTGGCCAGGATGTCTGCTATTAACTTATTCCTCAAACAGTTCCCAGGCCCTGCCAGGCAGTGGGTGCGGTGTTATATGAATCTGAGGGAGACACAGCCCTGCCTGTAGCATGTACACAGTCTAGCTGGAAAGACAAATATGCTGGTGGTTATAGCACAGTGCAGCAAGGGACTGGGGGGCTGGGACAGGGGTCCAGCACAGGGGACAGCAGCCTGAGGCTGGGAGGGTTAGGGGCAGAGCAGCCAGGCGGCAGGAATAAGGCGTGCAGAGGCCACTCACACTGCAGTGGTTGAGCCTGGGGGATTTGTTGAGGAAGAGGGAGGAGATACACCTGGAAAGGTAGACGAGATCCAGACTATGAAGTGGCTTTTATGCCACACACACAAGAGTTTTGACTTTTCTCCAGAAGTTCTGGGAGCCATGGAGGGTTCTAAGCAGACATATGGCACAGAAGTCAGAGCATCCGTTGTATTCGTTTGCCAGGCCGCCATAAGAAAGTTCCACAGACTGGGTGGCTTAAATGACAGAAATGTGTTGTCTCACAGAGTCTCAGAAGTCTGAGATCAAGGTGCCAGTACAGTTGGTTCCATCTGGGGGCTGTGAGGGAAGACCTGTCCCAGGCCTGTCTCCTGGGCTTATCGATGCCACCTCCATGTTCACAGGGCATCCTCCTTGTATATGCTCATCCTGTGATCAAATCCACTCACACCTTTTTTAAAAGGACAGCAGTCATCCAATCATATTGGATTTAGGGCCCACCCTGACTGCATTTTATTTATTTTTATTTTTCGAAACAAGAGTCTCACTCTATCGCCCAGGCTGGAGTGCAGTGGTGTGATCTCGGCTCACTGCAACTTCTATCTCCCAAGTTCAAATGATTCTCATGCCTCAGCTCCACCCCCCCCAGTAGCCAGGCATCCGCCACCATGCCTGGCTAATTTTTGTATTTGTGGTAGAGTTGGAGTTTCACCATGTTGGCCAGGCTGGTTTCGAACTCCTGATCTCAAGTGATCTGCCTGCGTTGGCCTCCCAAAGTGCTGGGATTGCAAGCGTGAGCTACTGCGCCTGACCTATGATCTCATTTTAACTTGGTTACCTCTGTAAAGAGCCTGTCTCAGATAAGGTCACATCTGAGATCCTGGGGGTCAGGGTTTCTACATGTGAGTTTAGGAAGAGACAGTTCACCCTTTAATACCCCTGTTCTCCAGGGACTTCAGATATAGTTTGGAATGCAAGAAAAGGCAGCTAAGTACCAAGTTAATGATGAGAAGGGCCAGTTGTGGGGATTTCAGGGAAAAAAAAGTTGTTGCTGAGGTCCAGGTTGGGGTCAGACTAGACAGAGATACTCCCAGGCCAGCAGGCGAAGGTGGCTGTGTCTGCCTCTCACTGCGCCCAGTCAGATGCTCTGTGGGACTGGCCTTCTACTCCTGGGGAGCACTCTTCAGCATATTTTAGAAGTGGTTATCTGATCCTTCCATGTCATAAGCAGCTCTTAAAGCATACACTCTCATTTTCAAGGGCCTGTATTTGAGAGCTTGGGGAAAATCTAGACAAAGCATATCAGTCAGTGTTGCAGCAGGAAACAGTACTCTGAGCTGGGGTTGGAGCAGAGATGTCTGTAAGGAAGGAGCTGAGGTGTAGCTGGACTGAGGGAGCCCACGGGGATATCCAGGGAGTGGGTTCTACAGGAAGAATGCCTTTCCCCCTGCTGAGCCTAGAGGGACATTAGAGGAAAACATGTGACCAGAGCTTAGCTGAGAGTTGGAGCCACAAGATAACCTGCAGGAGTAGTGGCCGTGGATTGGACATGGCCACTGCAAAGCCACCCAAAGCAAGGAGGCGGGTGGGGACATGTGGAAGGATCCAGTACTCCAGCCTCTCTCTCCTCCACCCCATACCTGCCTCCCAACCAATCCTAGATCATAGCCTCCTGCTGGCTCATCCCAACAGGAAGCCAAGAATCTGGGGAGCCCAGATAGAGCTGTCCATAGGGGTCAGTTTCCCACAGAGGACGGTGGCAGAGATGGATCTGAATAGTGTCAGTCACTCAGAGATGAACTTGACCTTCTCACGATTGCCTTTTACACAGTCACTGGGCTTTTAAAATACCATAGGTGCACAGACACGCCAGCCCACCCCCTACAGCCTCGAGCCTTCAAAAGAGAGCTTTCAAGCAGTATCTGCTTGAAGAACAAACATTTAAAGTCACCATGGGGTGGCACTGGTTGTCAGTTCTGTCTGAGCCATGTATGGGCAATTAGTGGAATTCCTTAGTGCACTTGGCTCTGATTTTATAACACCTGCCGTCAATCAAAAGGCGGGAGCATGGTTCTCACAAACAGCACAGTAGAGGTAAAGACAGGAACTGCAAAGTGAGGCAGAGGAAGACAGCCTCAAGCCTCATCTGTACCGATCAGAGTGAAGTCAATCTTATTTGAATTCAACTGTGAAAAAACAATAAAGAATAAACCTAACAAATATGTATGAGATGCTGCGGCGGGGGGAGGGTGAAAGGTAGGAGATATCAAATCTTACGTCACGAGGGCAGGATGTTACTAGGGATCGTACGTTTATTTTAGTGCCTCATAAAAACACTCCTCTCTCCCAGTTATGCATAGTCAGGAAGCAGAATTTCTGATGAAATTGTTGCAGTATTCTTGCTGTCTGAACTCTTGCTACTTGCAACCTAGAAGTAAGGAACCAGAGAAGTTTGAATAATTCAGTCGCCCACATGATCCAGATTTTATATCTGAAACCCAGGAACTGAATGTAACTGGCTGGTGAGAAATATTTGTGAAGAGCAAGGCTTTGATGCATTCGACTCTGCACGTGTTCATTTCAGGCTTTCTGTGCGGCGGCAGAGGACTGCCCAGGTAGAGGCTTTGCCACTTGCCTTCACGATGGTCATGTCTCTTAGTTCAGTCTTCCTCCCAAAGCAGAATTCTATTATGAAGTTAATTATTATGCCAGTCATCTGTTAATTAATAGTCAAATGGGCCTCAGGTGGCAGCCATGTAACCTCGTTGCCTGATTCGTCAAGATGACTAGTAATAAACAGCAAGCCAGGAGCTGAAATGTCGGGTGAATGAAGAGGGGTATGAAAAGAAAAGAGAAAATATGGCGCAGGTCTGGGGCCATCACAGCCCTTGCACTTGGCCTTGTGCTTCCACTTCCCCCACCCACTGGTGTGATTTCCACCTCTCTCTCTCTTAGGAGTGCTGCTTTCCATGGGATTTGGATTTGTGGAATACAGGAAGCCGGAGCAAGCCCAGAAAGCTCTCAAGCAGCTCCAGGTAAAGTGAGGATTCTCAGCTGAGGGCCACGGAGGCGCTTGGCAGGTAGTGAGAGGTCCCGTCAGCCCTCTGAAGTTGAGTGGGAATGTGTGTGAAGTCTACGCTTGACTGGGCTCGTTGCTTTTGCCAGGTATCTAGGAGACTGTAGCCCAAGAAAAAAATGAAGAACCTTTCCCAACACTCCATGGTCACCATAGCCCATCCACTCCATCCGTAACACTGTTGTCAAGGGCCTGGCGTGTGCCAGGCGTGGCGCTAGGCCTGGGAGAGGTTGCTCACGTGGGCCCCTCTTTCTGCTGGGGTAGACAGGCCATGGGCCTCTGAATAAACATGCAGGACCAGGTCATGAAGACAAAGGTGCGAGTCGGGGGTGGAGGTCGGGTGTGTAGGCTGTGTGGTCACCTCTAAGGAGGTGACAGTTGAGCCCACGCCTACTGGGCCAGAAGTCAGCTGCACCACGATCTAGGAGGGAAGTAGTTGGGGAGTAGGGAACACTATGCAGAGGGGCTGTAAGGCGGGAATGAACTTAGTACATTTGAAAAGCAAAGAGGCCACTGTGGCAGGGGTGGCGTGGGTGGCAGTTCAAGGTGCAGGATGAGGAGAGAGGTGTGCAGGGCAGGCTCCTCTAGGCTATTTTACTGCTCAGCCTAAAGGTAGTGGGTGACCATTACAGGGCTGTGGGCACACTGGCATCTGCGCCAGCCTCTCTGGCTGCTGGCATGGAGAGGGGACAATGAGTGGGGCAGGTAGGAGAACCTTGAGTTATCCAGGCTTGGCCAGGGTGGGAGAAGGTGGGGAGAACAAGGCTGAACCAAAAGCTGTTTGGATAGAGACTCAACATCCTATTCAGACAGAGGAGGGATATGTGCCTTCCTGCTAGATCCTCAGTACAAGGACAGATCAGGACCCTCTAGCGGGAGGGGAGCTGGGGCCATGGAGAGCAAGGCAGCCTGGGATTTGCACCATCCCAAAGGGCAAATTTTGGACCACCTGTAAGTTCTAATCCCGGAGCTCCGTGACCCCACATGGGCTGCTTTATGGGATGTACTTTCTTAGAGCTACATGATGGTGCCTAGGCTGGCCTTCAGCTAATGTGAAGGAGATTCAGTAGGTGTTTGCAGCTTGAGGTGTCCTCTGCTCCCTTCATAATGCCCCACATCCTAGGCCCGTCCTGATCAGGAGCTGTATATTCATTTAACTTAAAATCAGCTCTGCAAATTCAGTGGTCCATATTTCTCTTTCATGTGATGTAAGATGCTGTGAAATTTCACTTTGCACGTGTACTGTATTATGTTCTGGACATCGTTGTATAAGTGCATATGTGAATATTGCCTCCAAGAATTGTTCCTACAAAGCTATGCGTGCTATATTTTATGGGAGATTTAAGGGATTTTCAAGGGTAATTTTGCTAATACACCAGTTTCGCCTTGAGGGACCAGTGTTAGAGCCTAGCTTTAGCTACAACTCTACTGTGATTTAGAATACTTTTCAGGAACACACAAACTAAACCCAACTCTGCGAGCCAGACTAAGGGCCTTTCTTTGCCTGAAAATGCGTATAAACAATGGAAAAGTCCGTGTCCCTTGAGTGGCATCAAGGTGAAGGCCTGCCCGTGGCTTAAGAGAGCATCCAAGGGCTGAGTGTCTGACCACCAGCTGCTGCCTGGGCTCGGTGTGAGCCATTTCGAGGAAAAGCCATCCTCTGTCCTCGAGGCCAGCTAGCCCCGCTCTCTGGGGAGCAGTGAGTCTCCCATCTGCGAGCCAGGGCTCTGCTCTGGTGAAGGGCAAGGATTTGGGTGAGTATTTCTCAGGACAGAGACGAGCTGTGTTGTCTTCTCTCTTAGTTACACATGGTGGACGGCCACAAGCTGGAAGTGAGGATCTCGGAACGAGCCACTAAGTGAGTCTTCAGTGTCCTCAGTTTCCTTCCCTATAAGCTGGTGCTTTCTGTTCTGGGTGACCGCCACCCTGGAGGCTGTCTCACAACCCTTCCCTGTCCTTTCCACCTACCCCTTTACCATTTAGGACTCTGCCTAATTAAGCTGGCATTTGCCAACTCCAACCCCAGTTTTCCCAATGAACTACGATTATGTTAGTCCTTTGGGTGCATGTTTAATGCACTTTTTTTTTTTTTTTTGAGATGGATTCTCGCTCTATTGCCCAGGCTAGAGTGCAGTGGCATGATCTCAGTTCAGTGCAACCTCCACCTCCCAGGTTCAAGCAATTCTCCTTCCTCAGCCTCCCAAGTAGCTGGGACTACAGGCACATGCCACCACACCAGCTACTTTTTGTATTTTTAGTAGAGACAGGGTTTCACCGTGTTAGCCAGGATGGCCTCGATCTCCTGACCTCATGATCTGCTTGCCTCAGCCTCCCAAAGTGCTGGGATTATAGGCATGAGCCACCACACCCAGCCGCACTTGTCTTTTTATTTAAATAAGAAAAGGAACAAGTGCAGGAGAAACAGGCAAAGAGCTGGTGATTGCTGGTGCTGTGGACAAACGAGAAGCAGCTGTGAAACCTAGACGTTCCACTTTACGGGACGTGCTTTCTTAGGGCTGAATGACAGTGCCTAATCCAGCCTCCAGCTAATGTGAGAGATTCAGTAGGTGTTAGAGATGGAGGCAGACCAATTTGCCCAATGACCAGTATGCTGAAGTAGGGGATTGTTTGGAGATTCAGTTTTGCTCCTCCATTTCCACCTGCTCGTACATCTAAATGAGCTATGACACCCGAGGTGCTTGCAAGTGTCCGGCACATAACAGGTGCCCAGCGCAAGCCCTTATTGTCACTATCATCCACTTGCTTTGGGTGATAAAATGCCTGCCTCTAACAGTCCTCAAGCTGGTTTCGGATATTTATTCGGTTGTTTTCAACAAGTTGGTCATTTGTTGTGGTCATCCAGCAAATTAGCTGCCGGCGAATTGACCTTCCTTTTTCCTTCTCTCCTTTGTTAATGCTTCTTGTGAATCCAGCTTGGGCCAGCTCTGGTGTTTTTTACCCATTGTGGTCTGTGCTATGTTAACCATCGTTGGTACGGGGGCCCTCAGGAGTCTGGTGGGGGTTCCTGAGCTGCCACTATAACAGAAGGAGCCCACACCTTTGAGCCCCACACCTGTAGATTCTAATCCAGGAGCTCTGTGACCTTGAGTGGGTGACTTTGCCTCTGAAGTGAAACGTGCTAACCAGAGGTGTGTTAAGCGCCCAGCACCTTCAGTGCCCATAATCACGGAGCCAGCGATCTCTTTCCAGTACGCTGTCTCCAGATATCCAGCCCGAATTCAGCCTTGCAGGTCTCACTTCCTAGCCAGTGTTCATGGAAACATTGTTTTACGCAAGAAAGAATTACAGCAAACCCACTGCGTACCACATACTCCTCCTAGGCACTGGGGATGGCTTTTCCTTGGGAGTTGACACCCTAGGGCAGTGCTATTCCGTAGAAGCTTCTGCGCCAGTGGAAATGCTCTGCATCTCTGCCCAAGACAGTAGCCAGCTGCCACATGTGGCTATTTAGCCCTTGAGATGTGGCAAGCACAACTGTTTTAGCTCTCTGTTGCTGCATCACAAAGTATCCCAGAACTTAACAGCTGAAAACAAAACATCCTCTCACTGTTTCATGGGTCAGGAATTCAGGAGCAGCACAGCTGGGAATTCTGGCTCAGGGTCTCGCATGAGGTTACAGTCAGGATATCGGCCAGGGCTGCAGTCATCTGAAGGCTCAGCTGGGGCAGGTGGATCTGTCGTTAAGGTGACACCCTCACATAGCTGCTGGCTGTAGGCCTCAGTTCCTCACCTCAGGAATCTCTTCCTGGGACCGCTGGAGTGTCCTCATGGCATGGCAGCTGGTCTTTCCGGAGTGAGTGATCCAAGAATGGGGAAGAACAAGACCACAATGTCTTCTGTGACCTAGTCTTAGAATTCACACACCATCTCTCTGCTGTATCCTGCCAGTCACCCAGACCTGCCCCGATACAGCGTGGGAGGGGATTACAGGGGACATGAACACCAAGAGCCAGGGATCACTGAGCACCATCTTGGAGGCTGATACCCCAGCAACCGAGGAAGTGAATTTATAATTTTGCTGCTTCTGTTTTTTTTGAGATTGAGTCTCACCCTGTCACCCAGGCAGGCTAGAGTGCAATGGTGTGATCTTGACTCACTGCAACCTCCACCTCCTGGGTTCAAGTGCTTCTCATGCCTCAGCCTCCCGAGTAGCTGGGATTACAGGTGCCTGTCACCATGCCTGGCTAATTTTTATATTTTTAGTAGAAACAGGGTTTCACTATGTTGGCCAGGCTGATCTTGAACTCCTGACCTCAGGCGATCCGCCTGCCTTGGCCTCCCAAAGTGCTGGAATTACAGGTTTGAGCCACCGCACCCAGCCTAGTTTTGCTTCATTTAATTTAGATTTAACTCGCCACATGTGGCTGATGGCTACTGTATGAGCACAGCCCCAGAACAACAAGACACCTGGTCCATCTCCATGGTTAGGCCCCCACATGCTCTTCCTTGGGTTTTCGACAAAGTGTCACAAACAAGACCTTTGGAAACCAACCAGGGTCTTTGCATCTGGAGAGAAAGGCACAACAGAGGTTGGGTTTGATGAGAAACCAGCCCCGCCCTTAGCGGGCTCCTTAAGGCCCTGGTGGCCCCAGAGTCTCTCAAATGAAGAGCAGCAGCCACCTAAGCCTGGATGTGTCCCCTGACTTCTGCAGCTGTTTTGGGTCCTATCACCAGTGGGAGACGGCCTTCCTGTCCTTTCATGTTGGCCCCACCAACCCCAGGCACACTCCTTGAATCCATCACCTGAATATTCTGATGGAGGCGCAGTGGAGCCAGTGTGGGGCAGGAGCTGCTGAAGCCCCGAATAACTGGAACTCTTTCCCCTCCACCCTCCAGGCCAGCCGTGACATCAGCTCGGAAGAAACAAGTTCCCAGAAAGCAGACCACCTCCAAGATCCTGGTGCGGAACATCCCCTTCCAGGCCCACAGCCGGGAGATCCGAGAGCTCTTCAGGTGAGAGGCACTCGTTCAGGCCAGGGGACTGGCGTGCGGGCAGGGAGCCTGCCCGAGTCTCGGAGAAGTGGCCTTTGGGTCCTGGATGGTTCCGCTGCAGCCCCACGCAGTGATCTTTCAAAGGTCATCTTTTGGCTGCCTTTGATTTATCTCCCTTAATCTCAGATGTGGCTCCCCAGAGCATTGTGCAGGAAAAAAGTCAAAACAGCCAAGCTTCCTCCTCTCTGGGGCAGACAGAGAAAGGGCAGGCGGACTTCCTTGTCCCCATCCACAAGGTGCAAGAGGGGCAGGGCCCCAGTGGCTAAAACCCAGCTCTACGCAGGATCTGCTTGAAATTCCCTCCATCCAAGCCACCTTTTTGGTTTAAGATGCTGGTTTTCCACCTTAGCCACACATTCCAGCCACCTGGCGACTGCTAAAACACACCTTTGTTCAGGCCGCACCCCCAGAGAGTTGGTTTCCATTTTTCAACAGTGGAGTCCAGACATTGGTGTTTTGCTAAAAGCTCCCCAGGGGATCCTAACGTCCATCAAGCCAGGGTTGGGGACCACTGGCCTAAATGGCTCTATGGAAATGAAGATGAGTTACCTGTACACATAAAGCAGCCCCCCAGCACCTGCTTGCACAGGGGTGGAAAACACAGCTGCCTCGATTCAGCAGGCAATGGCAGCAGGCTAGGTGGGCACTGAGCAGTGGGAGGGCCTCTCTCTGCTCATCCAGCTGGATGCCACACAGGACTCGGGCTTCGTAAGACCAATTCCCATGTTTTGAAAGAGAAACTAGCCATGTGGATTCTTAATTCTTAAGGGGAATTCATCAGCAACTAATTCACTTTTTAAAAACGACAGTCTGGCCTACCCCAGGGCCCCTAGTTGGTGAACCCTACACCGGCATGTTACAGTATTTGGCTTTTCAGATTAGGCAGGCATCACCCAGCACCAAGCCCCCAATGAAAGAAGTGTTCTTATATCAGGGCATGAAAAGGGAATGCTTGAAGCCAAGGTCCTCCCCAGCCATGGGCGGGATAGGAGAGAGACTAGCCCTCAGAATATAATGGCAGATGACGTTGGCGTCACCCAAACACGTTGTTGAGGCTTGGGTGGGATCCAGGACACCCCGGGGGACCTGCAGCACCATGGCCTGCGTGTGGGTGAATATTTAGGATTCTACATACTAGGTCTCGCTCCTTCGTTCCGTGCTTGCATGAGGATCCAAGAGTGAAGCCTCTGTTAGAGTTGCCAGTTAGCATCTTGCAAGGTAAACTGTGGATACAAAATAAGTCTTGTGTTTTGGAAATGAGAAAGAATTATCTTTGTATGACATCTACCCTCTTTGCTCTCACTCTGTAGTGTAAAGAATAAGAAACCATTTGGGGAACTTGAAAAATCCTCATCCTCTTTTTCCCTCTGTTTGCTGTAAATCACACTGGTATGCAGTTCATGAACAGACATGGTGTGTGGTGAGCTGGGAGCTGAGGCAGGAACCTTCCTGCCTATATCTGGGAAGCAGGATCTTGGCTCTGATCCCCGGGTACCCTACGCAGCAGGAACAGCCCGGAGAGATGGGGTCATGACTTGGGGGGAGGTTTCCCATTTCCCCAAACCTCGGTTGATCAGTGGAGGAATACATCAGGTCGTCGCTCCAGGAAGGTACATATCCGTAGCCGCTCGGTGTGTCTGCTTGTTTTAACATGCTCTGCTCTTTAAAAGGAGTCCAATTTAAGAACTGCCAGATTAAAACGGGCTTGTAAGAAGGGCGCATGTTGATGGGGAAGTAATATCCCGCCGAAATGACAGTTTCACTTGGTTCTGCAGTATATTTAGGATGACACTTATCCAGGGAAACAAAAGACCGCAAGGGAAGAGAGAGCACTTCGTTTGATCTCACGTATTATATTTATTTTTAGAAGACAGGGAATTAGTGTCCACTGAACATAATTACATGTGGTGACTCTTCTCCCTGCCATTGTTCTGAGGAGAGTTTTCTTAAACCCCTGGAAACATAAGCCCTGCGTGGAGGGCCCTACCTGCTTTTGTTGTGCACTCCGGCTGGGGATGTGAGGCAGTTTCTCGTCGCAGACAGCAGGGGTCGCTGTGAGCCTTCTCAGGGACTTCTCAGAGCTTGTCCAGGAAAGCCCCAGACAGGATTTCAGACAAAGCCCCTGGCTGGTAAAGGTCATTAGCCAGGGGAAGGTTTCAGGGTTTCGGGGAACTAGTCTGGTCCATTTGGCCAGGCAGATTCTGTGGGTTTGTCCTACCAGGTGTAATAAAAATCACAATTCCCTTTTATGACACGCTTGCTGTGTGCTGAGCTCTGAGGTTGAACGCCTTCCCATGCAGAGTCGCCTCTGTTAAGCCGCACAGCAGCCCTGCGAGGGATGGATGCTGTCATCCCTTTTGCACCCAGACAGAAACTAGAGATGGAAACTGGGGAGAGGTCCTGCCTGGGACCACACCGCTGAACTGGGATTTGGATCTAAGTCAGTCTAACCCGGAGCCACTTCTCTCTGCTGCCTGTTCTTTTGGGTCTAGAAGGAGCTATCTTCTTCCAGATCATTCCAGCGGGACCATGTCCCACAGCGAGCATGTCATTTGTACCATGCAATGTGCTGGGCACAGGACATGTAGCCATTTCAGGAGAGAACCAGGTCTGTCTCTGTGGAGGGCCAGAGAGGAAACAGTGCCAGCCAGTGGGACAAATGTGCAGGTGAGAGTGCAGGGCTCCAGAGAGCATTCTCTGGGCAGGGCCTAAAGCCACCCGCCTGTTGGAGGGGAGGGGTGGCCTCCTAGCCTGAGGCAGCAGCACCGGGGCCCTTCCCGGAGGCTACCAGCCTTCCCTGCGGACCTCTGTGCACCTCACTCCAGCCCTTAACTAACCAGGCCTGGGTTAAAGCAGACAGGCGTCAGGAGGCACTGCATTTCCGTGTTTCTGTGGGATCGTTGTCTGGGGCGATTCGAGGATGACGCTTTCGAAAACTCAGAGGCACAGCGGTGGATTTGCGGACAGCGATTCTCATTCCCTCTGGGACTCTCCTTTGGGACCTCAGTTTCCCCTGGCATAAACTAGTGACAGTAACACTAGTGATAACATATGCCACCCTTTGTGATGATGCCATGGTAATATGTGAGTGCTGATTTCTTTCTCATGTCCCTGGCCCCTTGGGCTGCAGTGCCCCATGTTTCTAGGGTCCCATTCATCACCACGGCCTGGTACAGAAGTTTCATGTCTGTGTCTCAGTGAAGAAATCAGCTCTGGAGCCCAAATTCCACCCACTGGGTCATCAGATGCCTCAGGCCGCTACCCCACTCAACAGCTTCAAGGACTGTAAAGATGAGATGAGGCACCTAATACAGCCCCTGGCAGGGTAGCAGGTAGTTAATAAGTGTTCACTGCGGTGTTCGACAGCACCGAACCAGTGGGCCAGGATTTGAACCCAGGGTTTGAATCTGACTTTATAGACAGAACCCAGGTCTTCAACAGCAGTGCTGAAGCCTTGAAGGTCTTGGGCAGCGTATTCCTGGGTTTTTCTTTGCCTTTCCTCCTCCTCAGCCTTCCTGTCAAGAAAGGCTGTAATCCTGTAATCCTCCCTGTCCCATTCATCTGGGTTCTGGGGCAGAGAGTCCGGAAGGACCATGAGGGACAGACTGAGCCAGTCCCCATCTGCCCCCCAAAAGGAAATGTGGAAGACACACAAATGAATGCCCCACACTGTGAAGTATGCATATGCATGCGAACTTCTCACCCCAGCACTCGAGCAAGGACAGAAATGGCCGGCGCTCAGCTCACCCGGCAGGTGCCCAGAGTCTTAGGTCAGTATGGTTCTGAAAGAAGGAAGGAAGGAGGTGGAGACTGGGCTTCCCTGCGTGCCCCCGTCTGGGTTTGCTCTGGGTAGGTGTGTTGCACACGTGTGTTTTGCCATGTTGTTTATTTTCGTCTTTCCCCATCTCCACCTGGGAGAGCCTAGGGCAGAGAGGCAGTTTCGGACCTGGATCGGGCCTACCTGTCTGCATGCAAATGCAGCTTGTACTTGGGGCTCTCCTGCTGATACACAGCACATGTGTGCAGAGCTCAAGCGTTTGGTGGAAAGGGTCTTGTTTCCGCCCCCATTTCAAGAGCTGGAGGTGTTGTTAAAAACAGAGTTGGCTAATACAGGCGCTCAGGAGGCACGGGACACGGGGTGAACCGTGTCCACGCAGTCTTTGTATCAGTTTTGTCCACACAGCAGCCCAACATGGTAGGCCTGTTCAGCCTGCCTTTTAGATGAGGAGACTGAGGTACAGGCAGTAAGGGTGCTATTCCCAGGAGGACCCTCGGCTTGCCCCTTTCTGTCATAGTCCATGGGGCAGCCTGGTCTGAGCCACTGGGTTCTGGCAGGCGGTGCCCCCTGTCTTCCAGGAAGGATGTTCTGCAAACAGGGCCGGCCTCACCCTCAGTTAAAGGCACTGCTGTCACCGTCTTGAAATTCTCAGTAATGTTTGAACAGGGGGTCCTGGATTTTTATTTTGCACCAGGCCCTGCAAATTATGTGGCCAGTTTTGCCTGCAAACCAGTGGAAGGATCGGGAAGTTTAGAGCCAGGGTGTGGTGTGGCCATTGGCCAGGTTAGTTTCCTCATCTGCAGAATGGGAATGAAGAATGCGTCTGCCTCCCCTGCCTCCCTTCCCAGGTGGTGAAAGGCCCAGGGAGAGGATGGGTGGACAGGCTGACCAGAGGAGGGAGGTGTTGACGGGAGCGTACCTGTCACTGTCACGATCGTCACTAAGGCCCTCTGTGGATCACTGCTAAGGAACGCCTGCCTCTCTGAGGATGGCATGGGAATGTCCAGGCAGCTCTGAAGTCCAGGCCAGGTCAAGTCATGGTGAAGAGTCAGTTCTGGTGATAAATCTGTGGGCTCAGTGCACTTCTCCCGTCCTATGCTATGTCACTTTAGCTCTCAGGGCCTCAGTTTCCCTCATTTGTAAAATGGGGATGAAAAGAACCTGCCTTACAGCTGGGTCATCA